CCCTTCATCTTCTTGGCCTCAGGCAGAATTACTCTTTTAGAAAACTGACTGGTTATAGTTAATGTCACAGTAACACTTAGATGTTGGAAAGGAAGCTGTCCTGCAAGTAAGATATCTTGGATCTTACAGAGATAAATGCTGGAGCTGAGCACAGTAGTGTACACCTGTAATCCCAGCACTTGGAAAGCTCAGACAGGAGAATGCGCACACATACATGCATGCATGCACACAAAAATAAATCCTGAAACATGGAGGTCAATTTCATATTAGTCAAGTATTTAATTGTTCATATTGGGGTCAAATTTGTGTCTTGCTGCTGGGTGACTCTGAACCACCAGTGATACATGCATGATTGTCCCATCAGGTGGCATGGGACAGTCCCATCAGGTGGTACAGACAAGCCACCTGACAGTCATGCATGCACCTCTAGTGGTTTAAACTGGTAGGGAGTGTTCTAAAGGGTCATAGAGGGAAGGCTGGACTGCCCTTCAGCTTTCTGGGCTAAACCAGTCATTTCAACTGGATTCTCATAGCCAAACTTTGTTTAAAAAGTTCACACCTGTGGTCTGTTCATTCTTGTGTCTCATTCTTCAACGCTCTTCAGACTGCCTGTACTCTTCCCATCCTGCCTGCTGACACCTCTCACTGAGATCCCTTGTGCCCTCCTCATCATCAAGTCCACTGGAGTTTGTTTGGCCTTCATCATATATGACCCCTCCATGACACTGGACACTAATAACCTAATTTTAAGCTTAAAAATGTGTTCTGTATGTTACAGATAACATGCATCCTCAGTGTAGGCACTGTGAAGAGCGTGTGTGGCCTTGAGTGTCTGATACCCTTTAAATGTCTGGGGCCTGCCTTCAGGGATCAGGGTGCATTGTGTGCGCTCTGAAGCATGGTGAGGAACTGGGAGGGAGATGAGGGTACGTGATGTGGGGAAGGAGGCTCTGTGGGAAGCTTTCTAGGTTCTCAGATCTTGAAAGAGTTCCCCAAGGAAGAGAGAAAAATCTTGTTCTCTGTAATTTCTGAAGACATGCACCTCAGACTCATGAATACAGTTGTGGGAAGACAGGTTTTAGTTTAGTGTTTAAAAAGGATGTTCTAAAATTGAGTAAAAAATTAAAGTGGGCTGCTGCTTATGTGTGATGATGGTTTGATAGAGATAGTTTCATTTTAGCTCAGTAAAACTTGTAAGACATTGGCATCACCCTCTGCCCACCTTGCCCTTATTCTTCCCAAGTGATCTTACCTACTCTCATGGCTTTAAATGTACTTAAATTATATTAATGGCTCAGCAATCTGTATGCCCAGTCCAGCTCGCTTTTTGAAGTTGGATATCTAGGTGCTTCCCCGGCATCACTGCACTGCCGGATGTCTCTTAGGCATCTCAGGCTCTATAGACATTGAATTTTTCCCATGATCAGGTACTTATCTACAACTACATCCCCAAATCCTGGTCCTTCCAGAGTTTACTAAGGGTGGAGCACTGCGAATTGTCTATTCTAGTTTGGGCAGTGAGGTGTATGTTATATGCAGAAAACTTAAAACCAGTGACAAAAACTGACCAAGTACATCCTCTCTGGGGTCAAGCATATTCTCTTTGGCACCACCTCGTACTTTTTATCTATCCCATAGCAAAAAGCTGGCTGTTTTATAATGTGCTATAATAGAATACCTGAGAGTGGATAATTTCTTACTATTATTTTTATTGTTACTATTTTTGAGACAGAATCTCACTCGGTAGTCTAGGTTGGTCTTGAAATCAGACTTGCAGTAATTCCCCTGCCTCAGCCTTCCAAGTGCTGGAATCAAAGGCATTTTCTACCATGCCTGGTGAGACTGGGGAATTTATAAAGACCAGAGATTTATTTCTCCAGAGGCTGGGAAGTCCAAGGTGAAGAGGCCTCTGTCTAGTAACAACCTTCTTGCTGTGTCATTCCTTGTGGGAAGCAGAAAGGATGGGTAGGGAGAGAGAAAGAGACAGGAAGGGAGGTAGGATAGGGCCTGACTCATCCTTTTATCAGGAATCCACTCACTTTATAATGGACCCAGTCTTGTGATATATTAATCCTAATCACCTCTTAAAGGTCCCACCTCTCAACCCTGTTGTGTTAGGGATAAAGTTTTCTACATACGGGCCTGGGCGGGGGCACATTCAAACCATAGCATTAGCCAAGCAGTAAACCTTTGACATCAGCCTTGCGGCTTTTCCTTGTTGGACCCTGTGTCAGTCAGCTTTCTGTTACCATGACAAAGTTCCTGAGATAACTTAAAAGCAAGGGTTTATTTTGATTCATACTTGCAGAGGTTTTAGTCTGATTACTTGCCCTGCCATTATAGGCCTGCGGCTGCCCAGTATGTCATGGCAGGAAGTGGCCTGCTTACCTCATGGAGACTGGTGGGTGGGTGGAAGAGGGAGGGAGAGAGAGGGGAGGGTGCCAGGGTCCCAGAACCCCCCCTTGGCACTTACCCAATGATTCCTCTTCCTCCAAGTAGGCCCCACACCTCAAGGGTTTCACCATCTCCCAGTAGTGCTGCAGCTAGAGACCAAGCCTCTAACGCGCAGGCCTTTGGTTGAGATTCAGAATTCACATTACCGCAGGCCTCACCTCCCACTAGGTCACCAGGTCTGCCTTTACAGTCTTCTGTCTGTTTCTTATCGCTGTCTGGACTGCTGCTCTTATCTCCCGGCTACCACTCTGCTTTTTCAGTGTGTTGTTTCTGCTGGCCGCGGCTCCTCAGGGGCTTTCCATGGTCCACGGCCACTTCTCTTAGAAAGAAAACACTCTGATCTTTCCTCTTCCATCCCCCCATCCATGCTCCAACTTAGCACTGATTTTTTGTTACGATTATTGGTGCAATTCAGATATATGTAATGATCACGTTCATCATAGAGGATTTATACCTATACAAGATATTTCTTGATTTCTCTTTTGTTTTCCGATTCCCCTCCCCAGCCTTCAACCCCTTTCCCTCCTTATTTATAAAAGCTTTGTTTCCATTTTATCCTATTTTTTCCTTTTCTCTGCTTTCCTTTTCTCCTGTCTCCTCTTTTGTTCCCCTTTTACAATTTGTATGATATATTTTGGTTCTTATTTACATTTTCAGTTTCTCACACCAGAGAAACAATGATACTTACAGGTGTGTCTGATTTATGTCACTTAAGTGTATAGTCTCAAGGTGCATCCATTTATCTATACATGTCTCAAGTTTATCCTTCTTTATGGCTCAGTAGTACTCCATCTTTATCCACTCCTTGGTTGATGGGCATTTGGGCTGTCTTTCAGATTTGGCCATGCTTTTTTCTCTCACCATCCATTTTTCTGGAAACTAAGTTCTTTACAGACAGTGGTTAAATCTTATTTTTTGAACCCTAAGTTCCTGACCTTGTTAGATGTCATATATATTTGATTGAGTTGATTTGTGTGAATAAATTAACTCATTACCTAGAGGAGAGGGAGTTGATAAATTGTAATTTAAAAAGAAAACCAAAACAAACCCTTTCTTTAAATTTCGACTTCTTCCTATCTTTTACAAACCCTTACTTTAAATTCTGACTTCTTCCTATCTTTTGCATGGTCCTTTTTTATTTTTTAAATTTGAGATAAGCCCACAACTAGAGGCTTAAAGGGGAGTTGAGACCCTGCCTGTCCATCTCTATTATGTGTTCTTTCTCTCCTGCTGTCTTGCATTTCTGCCTTTGTGATATAATAAAAGAACAGAAGATTGATCTGCTGGAAAAAACCTGGGCTTTGGAGTCAGATGAAACTGAGTTCAGTTTTTGGCACACTCCATTTTTTAACTTTGGGACCACTCTGAATCTCATTTCCTTGTCTTTGAGATATATACAACCTCAGATAGACGTGCCTACCTTACAGCATTGTTTTGAAGATTAAATGTGAAAAATACAAGTAAAGTACTTAGCCTGCTGCAGGCCATAAGAAAATAGTAGCTGCTGGTATTATTTCCAGCAGCATCTCCACTCACTTGTGTTTAGGTCTTGTTGTAGTCAGAGGTTGTTCAGAGAACAATTAGAATCAGGACATGGATTTTATAATATTATTTTTATAATGGTCACTGGGAGTTAATGCAAGAAATTGCAGGAAATCTATCTGCAACACCAAAGACATAGAATATTTAGTCAAGGGCCTAAATCCCACAGCAATGTCCATATGAGTCCAGATGAAAACCCAGAGCTCAGGACAATGCCTCCCATGAGTCCAACTGGAAATCCAGAGCCCAGAAGAAGGACTCACGCCAGTCTCTTTTATGGACCCATGCCGGGAAGGCCCAAAGGTCAGCAGTGGAAGCCAGAAAGTCCATGCCAGCAGGGTGAAGGAGCAGTGCTGGTGGGATGAGGGTTCTACGCTGGAGCCGAGAAGTCATACTCACAACAAAAACCAGGGCTGTCCTGAAAAGCACCACAGCCACCCTCAGCGACACGGAGGCCCCAAGCTCCTCCACTGATAAGCACAGTCAGGTACATGTTGGGAAACCAGCTTGATGAGTTCATCCTGGAGACCAAGTGGCACAGGTCTTTTTCTCTGGAGCCAGAAAGCAATGCTCGATATGAGGATCAGAGCTTCTCCAGGAGAACCAACAGCTCAAACAGTAATTCGTAGGAGAACCCACAATGCCTCAGTGCCTCAACGCAATGATGCATTAACGCCTCAACACCTTCCTTCTCCTTCTCCACCTATTTATGCTGGCAACTTTCTTCAGGTGGAACATCTTTGCTCAGTGCTATACTGATGTAATCCAGCTGACGTTAAGTTGACCACCAGTTCTTAATCCATAACAGGTCTGATGGCTTGGTCTGGGGCCTGGTGTCTGTGGTGCAGGAGATGGGGTCCCTTTCTAGGGCATGATGGAATCATTGACTAATGTGTTGGTCTTTGAAGTCCTTTTGTCCTGAAGAATTTATGGACTTTCTGTTTTAAGACTCCATGCATGGGATATATGTGTGCCCAACTTGTTCTGTCTTCCCTTTCTCGTAGGCTCCCAGGCCAGTGCCAGTACTTGGGCTTGCCAGTGGCGGATTACTTCAAGCAGTGGATTAATCTGAAAAAGGTACTGTCTGAGCCTCACCCAGGGCTTTCCTCTGTTTCTCCTGTGCCTCAGAGTTCCCCTCCCATCTCTGTTGTCTTTTTCTTTTTGCCCTCTTTACTCAGCATCCTTTTTTCTTCTTCCCTAGCCAATGTGCACTGTCGTGGTTACTTTCTTTTGTTGCTGAGACAAAATACCTGACACCCAAAATGAAGCAAGGAAATTTTTATTTAGTTTACAGGTTTTTAGAGTTTTAAGCCCATACTCTGTTGGTTCCAAGGCAGGTGGCATGGCTGACGGGCAATTATACATGGCAGCTGCAAACAACGAGAGCAAAAAGGGCCAAAGTGGAGAGCACACGTCCTTCCCTCTCTTATACTGTGTGGGGGCTCTCCGACTCTGGGCGGGTGCAGCACTCACACCACCAATCCCAGCGCTAGCCAAGGGCCCAATCACAAATGCTAGACTCGGCTGCCTTGAGAGGCCTGCCTGCATCATACCGCTTGAGACTTTAGGGGCACATTTAAACACAAACCATAATATACACTAACATGTTATAGTTATTTTTGGGAATGGAAGCTTCCTGGGGACCAGGTTGCTGGGTGGAATGGGACATTGTTCTCATTGCTGTCATGGAGATCTGCACAGAAATCCTACTTAAGGAGATTTTCCAAGGCCCTCAGTCAGATAGGAAACTCTGGGCGGAGACACTTTCTTGCTAGGAGAGATGTGTTGCTATTTGAGCCTCCCAAAAGTATTCTTCTTTAAGCCTTCCTGTGTTTGGCCTTGGAGCCTTCTGTCTGGCCCTGGTATCTCCCTCTCTATGGGAGGGGGACCTCATTTAGGCTGATTTGGTTTCCACCTAGCCCCAGTAGGGCCTTGTAAGCACCACAGAAACTAGAGTCCAGCTGCCTTGGTACTGGGTATGATGCAGCACTAAGGACCTGGAAAATTGGCCCTGAGGCTGTGGGCTAAGAAGGTCTCTGGGTAGCTAGAACACCTGCCCTAGTAGAGAATGAACCATTGAGAAAACTAGTGTTTTGCTATACTTCCTAGATACAGAAGAAAGCATATGTAGGAATAGATTCCTTGGGGCCTTGCTTTGGAGGGATCCTTGCTTCTGGAGCCCAGTCCACTAGAAGACTGATCTCCATAAATAATTCTGATAAAAGGACAGCAACCTGTCCCGAGCAACCTCGGGAACCTCAAGCCACCAGTCAGGGTGGCTCCCTGGAAGCTTGAAGAAGAAAGAACACGCTGTGGTTTGCGATGGTGGTTCCCAGAAGACTCAGAATAAGAGACGCCTGGAAGGTCAGGCTAGAAATTGTGAGGATTTGGGTCATAAACTGGCCAATCAAGGAAGGTGGCATATAGATACAAGGAGGAGAGAATGCGTCCTAGGCAGGCAGAGCAGCGTGCTTTTGGTGTGTGTGGCTGCAGCTAAGTGAGCATATGAATAACAGTGGCAGAGAAAGTGTTGTAAGTGTTTGTTTCACATCGAGAATATCCCTGGACTTGGTTCCATGCTTTGTGGCAGCATTTGTGAGGTCCTTTGCTTTCTCCCAGTGTTCAGGCCTTTTTCACTCTGGCTTCTTCGTACGTCACCCACATCTCCTACTGATCGCTTGTGCAGCTGTGCTGCTGCCTCTGACTACCTCTCATCTTTGGCTGAGAGGACTGCAGTTTGTCCGGCCTTTGGGACCTGGCCTGTGGCCTTCCCTGTGCCTGAAATGTCCCCCAGCCTTCTTCATCAGGCATATTCTCTCTCCTTGAAGGTTAATTCAGGTATCATGTCTGCTGAGCTCCTCTTGCCTGGAGGTTTTTTTCTTTTTTTTTTTTTAATTTAAGGAGAAAAGAAAAAAAAAAAACAGTGAAGGGGTACAAGTTATACAGATTTACAGAAGAAAAAAATGCGCAGTAGGAAATCACTAGTTAATGGATTACATATTGTCATCTTAGAAATAATTGTTCAAGTCACAAAATTAAAGCTTGTAGAGTGGACATTCCAACAATGATACTGCAAACAGTTCTGTTCAGTGATCCAATAAAACTCTGTGATATCATTTTCTATCTTATACACTTAAATATACATGCAGTTATATAGTTTAGAGCACTTTCTTTTCCTCTCTTTTGTACAATGACTATTACACATTTTGGGTTTCATTGCTCCCATGGTTCTTATTGCTTTTTTGGAAGAGAGTAAAACCAAATGAGACATAACAGGACAGAATCGGTCAAGTCAAAAGGGTGGACATAATAGATAATATAAAAACATAATACAAGGTGATCAACAATGGTTACCATAATGCCTCCCGCTATCTCTAATAGAATTGCCTATATCATTAGTTGTAATACAATTGAACAAAACCGACAAAACCAAAACATTGGGGACATTGTAGGTCTTCAAAAGTAGATAAAAGTCAACGAGAATGGGCGTTATAATGAATCTCATTATCTTCTCAGGCCTGGAGGTTTTTTAGCACTGGGATATCAGTTAAAGCAGCTGGAATTTAAGTCCATGTGTATTTCCTTTTGGACCTGTCCATCTGGAGCAGAGACTATTCCTCTCTGTGTCCCATTGCTAGAGACTATTCCTCTCTGTGTCCCATTGCTAGACCAGGGCTGAGAATACAGAGTGCCTGTGTGGCTGGGCATTTACCCCTGGAAGAACAGTATGCTAGCTGTCAGAGCTCATCTGAAGCTGCTTGCTGGCCTCAGCAAATGCAATGTGAAGGCCCGGCCAGGCGAGGCAGGCGCTGACCATGAACAATTACTCTGAAGTTCACTAGACTTTTTTGTATGTGGATAGCTCTCTGCCTCTAGGTTCCTTGGCAGAACGGCAGGAGAGCAGCTGACCCATGTGATAACTTTGCCACTCAGGGCCACCTTAGTGCCACTGGGTCTGTGGAGGTGGAGGGAGGCTGTCCTGAGCGTCTTTAGCTTGGTTCTGTGCCAGATTGCTGAGTTACAGAGAGAGCAGATATAAGGAAGTCATAGGACTCTGTTCCTGATTGACCTTTGTGATTTCTTACCTTGAGGTGAACCAGGCACATCTGGGAAAAACAAGGAGTATAAACCCTTGTTCTCTGCCCTCTAGCCACCTCATGTTCTAGGTGTGCAACTCAGTGAGCAACTGGCACTGAACTTGGCATTACATTCTCTAAGGCTTCTAAACTGAGATATTGACCTTCACCTACCCTCTCCTGCCCAGAAGCGGCAGGGCTGCATTAGGAGAGAGCAGCTTTTCAAAAGCCAGGTCTCCGTGTCCTACCTCTATCTACTTCCCCGCTAGCAGAGTACAGCAAGCTAGTGTTTGCTGACATTTGGAATGCCATCGAATGATCTCAGACTTTTATTGAGCTGTCAGCTTAAAGAAGACTTGGGGGCCTGCTTCTAGCTCCCTCCAGGAGGTCAGAGCTGTCACTGAAGAACACACATGCGTGGTCACTGTACATACATGCACACATACAGCCACATGTCCATACAATAATATGCAGGAGCAAATAACCCCAAGTAAGTATACTCCAAATTTTATTTACATGTCATTACGTATAGCTTTGTGTATTTATATAAACGTAGCCACCTGCATAAATATTTGGAAAGATGTACAGACATGAATGTATTTATACATACATATTCATAAGGTGTCAAGACATGCACATATAAATATCCATATCTCTATATCTGTCTCTCTCTCTCTCTTTATCTATATCAATAAACATATTTTGGAATGCCTTCTGAGTTCCAGGTACTCTAGGTCTTGGGGATATATCAGAAAAGATGGATATTGAAATTACTTAATGTCAGTCACATTGAGTAACGCTGAACAGTTCAGAGTCCTGGGTGAAGTCAGAGAGTAGTTTCCTGAGGAAGGATGTACACACTGAAATCTGAAGAAGGAATTGGCTAAGCACAGGAAATAGCATGTGGGAGGCCTGGCAGCTTCATAGAAGCCAGAGACAGAATTTTGTTCTCTTGTTCGCCATTCTGTCCTGATCACTCTGAATGGATCACAGCACACAGATATTTAATCAGTATTTGTTAAGCGAATGACTGCCTACAGCACAGTGAATGTGGAAGAGGAGAGTGGCATGAGATGAAGCCAGGGGGAAAGGAAGGAACTTGCAGCCCACACTTTGATTTTGACCTTTATCTTTAGGGCAAGGGGAAGCTATTAAAGGGTATTAGACATAAGAGAGGCACCATCTGATTTGCATTTTTAAAAAGCTCTTTCTGACTGCACTGTAGAGAGAGCTAAGTGCAGACTGGGAGACCAGCTTCTGCTTTTTCCTAGTCGGGGCACATTTGGCATTTTTGGGTAGGACAAAGTACTACGTGAGTGACAGTGCTGAACCTGTAGCATCCCCAGCCTGTTCACTGACCCTCTGCAAATCATTTTACACAAAAAACACTCGTCTCCCCGCTGCACATACGTTTGTAGTGGACTAGATGGAGAGGAGTGGTGGAAGTGCTGTCCTCGATTGAGAATCACAAAATCAGTAGTCCAGGTGGAAATTGATAATTACTTGGATTAGGCTGATAGCGGTGGGAAAGGCAGAGAAATCAACTGATTTTAGAATGTTGGGTGGTATGGTTAGTTCTGCCATATTAAAATCTCCATGTTATGAGAAATTCTACAATAAAAATGTAGCTAGGAATATAACATTCAAAAACTTCATCAGTGACATGTTTAAGAAAAAAGGATAAGAATGTAAAACTTCATATGTTAAATGGTTAAGAAATACATAAATGCCACAATAAATATAGCACTTTATCTTGGAAAAACATAATCAGTTTTTTCGTAGAAATGGTCATAAGAAGGTTCACAGCTTATTAGTTATTGAAATGATGGAAGAAGATAGCCTGAAATCAGATGGAAAGCTGTAACCAGACGATGTGGCCTATGTCACCTGTAGTGATCTCCATGACTGGTAGGTATATATGTTCACATTTTGTATATTCTGGCTCAGCCTTCTCAGCTGGGTAGAGTTTCCTGAGTTTCTTTAGTATATCTAGTGGATAGA